AGGCCAAGCTCAGGCAGGTCAGGCTAGTTTAGTTTGGGATCATGGTTGGTGTGGACTAGTTGGACCGAAGGGTCTGTTTCCATGCTGTATGACTCTATGACTCTGTGCTCAGTTCACTATGTTCTGTCAGTAGATCTTGATTATAATAGGCAAGAAAATACTTTTGGCATTAATGGTGCACACTTCATATAAGATTGCACTATTTTTATTTTAATATAAGTTTTAGTCCATTTAACAAAACTGAATTAGTCATTAATAAGCCATTTGAAGAAATTAAAAGTTCTTCCATTAATATTGCAAACAGTAATTTCTCACCTCATAAAAGATGAAGAAATAACATTAAAGTGCTATGAGAAGAATTAGATAGAATTAGATTTTGGTTATACTTGGCTTTCATGATTAGGAACTTGGTTAGCCTTCCCTAGCTTGTCACGAATACTTATTAAAAGCTCAATTTGCTCAAATTACATTCACAGGGGCAAATTTGGGAATAGGCGTGTCCTAAAACCTGACTTTACCTATTCAGTGTGCATAGGCCTCTGGTGTTGCAGTGATAGAGCCCTTCCACTGAGCCAGGAGGCCCAACTTCAAGTCCTACCTACTCCAGAGATGTGTAGTAACATCTTCTAACAGGTTAATTAGGAACTATCGATTAACCATGTATCTGGTTGATACACTGCTTCCTCCTAGATATTGTCAGATTCTCAAACAAGGTGTTTCATTGCACAACACAGACTCTATGCTCAGTAGTTTCTCACAAAATGGATTTACTGTAGATAAAGTTTCCACATCTCATCACAATGCCAAGGGGGAAGGCTGACTAGACCCTCCCCCTTAAGACATCAATGTAGCCACTTCCTTCAAGCGTTACTGTCCGAGCAGGTACAAATGCCTTGAATATAAGAGGATTCAAATGAAAGGGGTATGTAATGACAGGGGTAGGCAACCTAAAAGGAAGATAAGTTGAAGTATACTGAAGCAGTCCATGTCCAAGTGCAGCAAGATCTGGACAATAATCAGGCCTAGGCTGACAAATGGCAAGTAGCAATTGTGCCATACAAATGCCAGGTCATGACCATCTCCAAATCTAACCACCGCCTCTTGGTATTCAATGGTAAATCCCACTGTCAACATCCTTGAGGTTACCATTGACCTGAAACCCAATTGGATTTGTCACATAAACACAGTGGCTACAAGTACAGATCAGAGGCTAGGAATACTGTCACAAGTAACTCATCTCCTGACTCTTCAAAGCCTGTCCACCATCTACAAGGCACAAGTCAGAAGTATGATGGAATATTATCCATTTGCCTAAATTGTTGCAGCCCCAACAACACTCAAGAAGATTGACACCATCCAGGACAAAGCAGCCCCACTTGATTGGTACCACATCCACAAACATCCACTACCTCCATCACCGATGCTCAGTAGCAGCAGTGTGTACTATCTACAAGATGCACTGCAGAAATTCACCAAGGATCCTTAGACAGCACCTTCCAAACCCATGACCACTTACATCTAGAAGGACAAAGGCCACAGCTACATAGGAACACCACCATCTGCAAAATCCCGTCCAAGCCGCTCACCATCCTGACATGGAAATATATTGTCATTCTTTCACTATCACTGGGTAAAAATCCTGGAATTCTCTCCCTGAGGGAATTATGAGTTAACCTATTGCAGTGGTTCAAAAAGGTAGCTCACCACCACCCTCTCAAGGGCAACTGGGCACAGGCAATAAAAGCTGGGCCAGACAGTGACCCCCACATCCCACAGTGAATAAAAAAAAGCAGCAAACATGTACTGGATGCAAAGTGAAGGCCATTAAGCAAGGTAGAGGACAGGGCTTCAAGAGTGGTGTAAGCATCCAGGGAAATAGAGGGAGTCAATTGGGTCACACACAGGAGAGTCAAAATTAGAGAGAAAATGGGGAGAATTGGGGGTGGAAGTTAGATGTGAAGGGTAGGGAACAGAATTGGGTAATTTGGAGAGCATGGGAGAGAGAAAAATCAAAGAAGTGGAATTGTGGGAATGTAAAGGTCAGTCTGGGTGTTGGGATCTCAATGCATGATGCTTCATGGGGAAGGGAAGTATATAAGGATATGGTGAAAGGGCCCAGCTAGATAAGGGGTGACTGAAGGGAGACAGAGAGGGTGGGATGGGAAAGAATAAGTCTGTCTAAGGTAATTGTGTGGGGGTGAAAAATACACAAAAAGGGGGAGGGTACGGCGGCAACATTTCAGGAGAGGTTCACCATTACTATGTTTTTAAAGCACCATTCTCTACAAGAACAGGACTGTGAGAGAGCACAATGCAAACGAGAGCAGCCTCAGATCTGCACATGATCAGGCAGCAGGAATATACACTTGAGACAGGAGAACTGATCTCTCCAATACCATTGCCTGAGTAGTGCCTTTGCAATGAAGGCAAACATATCTGTGAATTCAATGCCTGTAAACTTAAAAGCACGATCTGCCAGTCAGATTACAATAATCATTAGTGTTTCACAAGAAGGGCAGTTCACATTCAGTGCTGATGTTGGAATGGGCCTGGGTGGTTGTATAGTTGCTAGAAAATCAGCTGCGAAATACCACTTCCAGGCCACTGCCTTCGCAAGTTTACAGGATGGGTGGTGATCACTACGCAGGCTAAACCTCCCAATGTGTAGCCAGTGCAGGTCCCATATTGAGAGGCACAACATTGCTCACATTGAAATATTAGCTCCATTCATGGAAAGCAATAGTGACAGAAATAACACAGAAAACTAACATCTGTTAGCATCAGGAAAGGGGAAGACTAGACTTGGGCTAAACAGGAGGGCCCACTCTATGCACAGGTGGGTGTCGAACAGTATTTTGCCCAAACCCTGAACAGTTTGTGTGCATTATAATTACTTGTACTGGTGTGAAACCGCAGAGTTAGCATTGTCTGTGTACCCTCCCAAGAAAAACAAAAGTTGTTCAGGAGGAAGTTATGATCAAGATAATTCTGAATGAAACATGGCTGCATGTGATAAAGACCCAGAATTGATAGATTTTATGGAGGTCAAATAAAGCATGATGTGTTGTGTGTGCACGATATCTATCTGATATTTTTATGTTCAAGTGACTTTTATAGTGCTTCCCCTGTGCCATTCGAGTCTTTGAGTGAGCTGGTGATGTGTGAGTGCTGTCAATCCCTTTCTGTTTGAAATGTGAATCATGGCAGATGTGTGGGAAGCAAGATCACAGTATTGCTCTGAGTCCATTGTGGTTAGATTAAGTAAAAGTGAGAGACATGGATAAAACATGAAACACGTAGTGGAAATGCTTGATATTCAAGGTTGATGTGATAGTCCTGCACAGTTCCTGTGGTAGGACACAGTCGTAGGTACATGGAGGATTTAGTAGGCAGTGGGTCTTATTCTGGAAGACCACAAGAGATCATTCATCTCCTTGCAGCTCTACATCCAGTCACGCCTCTGGGTTGATTGTGCGCTGGCAGACTCAGTCACCTCTTCCCATGCAGCCTTCATCAGGCAGAATAGCCTCTTGTCCCTATCCTTGTTGGAGGTTCACTGAGTGAAGTGCTGTACGGCTCCCTTTTAAATATACTGTCTCAGCAGGGGAGGCAGAGCTTCCATTAAAATTTGATGTTTTACCCATGCATATGTGTTGCGTTTTCAAAGACAGATATAGAACTCCCAACTTGCCTGGATGGGTGCAGCTCCACCAAATCTCAAGAAACCTGACATCATCCAGGATAAAACAGCCCACAAACATCCACTCCCTCCACCTCTGACCCTCAGTAGCAGCTATGTGTACTATATACAAGATGCACTGCAGAAATTCACCAAAGATCCTTCAGCAGAAGATATGTGCGACACCACCAGCTTCAAGTTCCCCTCCAAGCCACCCACCATCCTGACTTGGAAATTTATCACTGTTCCTTCAGTGTTGCCAGGTCAAAATCTTGGAACCTAATCTCTAACAGCAATGGGTTCTCCTTACAGCACATTGACGATAGCTGTTTAAGAAGGCAGCTCACCATGACCTGCTCAAGGGAAACTAGGGATGTGCAGTATTTTTTGGCACAGCCAATGATGCCCAAATCTCATGAATGAATGAAAAAACTCTTAATGCCAGCTATCTTCTGTTAGATCTGAGTTCCAATAAATTCTCTGTCATGTGTACAGATCATTATTTGAAATTGGCAACAATTATAGTACTTTTAGGACAAGCATTCTCAGCTAAATTTTGTCATTAAATTCAGTTTGATTCAAAATAACCAAATGATTGATTTTTTCCCAACAGTATGAAACTTTCGAATCAGAGCACCTTGAAAAACATGTACCAATATTTCCTAATCAAAATCTACGTATTTTCAGACACGTATTTTCAGTTAGATCTTTTATATATGCCTTATCCCATCATTTCACTGACACATTCCTAAATGCATCATTTTAGAAATGAGTTCACTAATGTTTCATCCAGAAAATAATTTTCAAATGGTTTCTTCAAACCATTCCATTTTTTCCTTTCTTCATTCTCAAAATCATTACTTGCTTTTATAATTTAAAATAAGTTCTCATATTTTCAAAATAATATTGGGGAAATAATGTGCAAAATATAAACTAGGATTAAGGAACCCTGAGGCAACACAGTGTGCAGCTGGAAGAACACAGCAGACTGGGCAGCATCAGAGGAGCAGGAAAATTGACGTTTTGCGTCTGGACTCTTCTTCAGAAATGGGGTTCCTCCAGCTCCACACTGTGTTGTCTCTGACTCCAGCATCTGCAGTTCTTGCTATCTCTAAAGAAGCCCTGAGTTTTGTTAAAAACTCACTGAGAACATGCCAAACTACACTTGCTTAAAATGCACAGAATTAATTTAGTTAAACCAACAAGGTGCAACTAAGAACCATTTTGGGCGGTTTAGGAAGACTAATTTGCACTTTAAATTGGAACTATATATTATTGAATTCAGTTTGACTGACTTTTGTTATTTTTATGACATTTCAAGGGCTCTCATTTTATACAAGAGTTATAGAAAACTGTGAAGATGAAGCGCCATTTGATGAGGTAAGATAATTTCATGCTTCTGGTAAATGTTTCATTGCTCAAACATCATTAAACTTAGTTTTAAAAAAGACACGCTTTCTTCCTGATACTAGATTCAAATAGACTAAAATGGCTCAACTCTTCACATGATACACACAACAGTTTCAAATAATTTTAGCCAGAGGCCATCTGTATTCAGAATCGGTTTAAATATCATAAGTTATATCACTGTGGTTACTGAAATAATGCTGGACTAATTTTTTTATATTATGCAAGACTCTTTAAAGTAATTCCTCAAAATTTTATTGATGAATGAAAGTAAAATACCCTCTGGAGATTTTGTTCAATTACATGGGCTCAGAAAGGTTTCACATCAATGGCCATGGATAACTACAGATAATGAGCAGTTTCGGGGCTTCTGTTATGTATTGTGTCAGCGAAATTGAGATTAAACAATCAGAATATATAGAAAGGACATATTTATTTCTGGAAGGAGAGCTTGCTTATGTTCAAGACTTTTTGTTCACTGGCACCTGTCAGAAATAATTGAAATCTTAAAATATTCAATTTCATGCCTTATATTTGAAAATTGATATAGTAAAGTTTGATTATTTTTAAAAGATTAACAATTTATAAATGCTATATCATCCTAGTTTGCACTGATCTTACTTTTGGTGTTTGTACATTTGTTTGATTGTCTGTGTAGGAGACACAAAGTCTGGTGCCTTCGTTTCGAAGTGTATACCATTTCATATGTTAGAATAGGCCTTTGCATCACAAAAATAAGAAGACCTAAACATTTTATTTGTTTTTGCATAAAAGTAAGGAGAAAAGTAATTATTTGTTTCGTTCCAAATCACTCTGCAACTAGCATAAATACAAGTGTTTGCTTCATGATTCAGATGTACAGAATATTGCCTTATCTGAAAAACAGGCCCTAGCAAGTTCAAGTAAGTTACAATTGAAGGGCTTCACAACAAAAGTAATGTTCTACAAATGGGTTCGTGTAGATCCACACCTTTGTCCAACTCTTTTTCTCTCTCTTTGGGCCCTATCTCCACCTATTGTTTAATCTTTATCCCATCTCCCCAACCCTGTCTTCTGCATAAAAAAACAACCCTTTACTGAGCTACCAGCAGTTCTAAGGAAGGGTCACCGGACCTGAGACATTAACTCTTGATTTCTCTCTGCAGATGCTGCCAGACCAGCTGAGCTTTTCCATCAATTTCTGTTTTTGCTTCTGATTTCCAATACCCGCAGTTCTTTTGGTTTTTTTTTATTGTTTTCAAATGCAGTTGTTCATGAACACTCGCACCCTCAAATTCCCCTTTCTCCAACAGTCATGGTGGATGAGTATCCATTGAGAATAAAGGAGTGAGTAACTGCTGTAAAATCTGCTCAGCAGTAGCACAGGTTTAAAATAATTATAGTCTCAATAGGAACACACAAGCCTGTTGCTAATTTGAGGTGTACTTCTTAAAGAGTTACCGAATACAAGACTCAATAATATTTGGAGGAAAGTAGTATTATAATATTTTTATCTCAACTGATTTCAAGGACATTACATTATTGGCAATATATTTTTGTCTGTGAATTTCCATGGGCTGTTCCAGTGGCTATGCTTTTTTCTTTGAAGATAATTGCAACAGTTGCCATATTTTTAAATTAACCTGACATTAGAATGTCCAGCCTTAGAACTCCAGCTTCCATTATGCTTGGAACCAAAGGACACTTCGTATATGCTTTGAGTAATTTTTTCTTTACTGTACACTTAGAAATGAAGACACATGTATTTTCCTAAAAGTGCCAAAAATAGATATTAACATAACAAATATAGTAGAGCGTGAGACTTTCATTTGTCGTTCTCCTTTGGCAGTGAAAAAATTTACTTGAGACAAAGATACATTAAGCACATGACAATATTGCTGATCATTAACCATTCATTTCATTTGTGGAAAATATCATCAAAAGTAGAATGTTTAACAACTTTTGGTGTTGACAGTGGATCCTGTCATTCTCCCTGTACTCTTACTCTCCCTGACACACTTTCATCATTTCTTTCCTACTTCAATGCACTGAAACCGTATAATTTTTGAAAACAAGTAACAGTAGCTACACAGAGCAGAAGTATCTACAACAAGACAGAAGTTGCTGGAAAAGCTCATCAGGTCTGGCAGCATCTGTGAAGGAAAAAACAGAGTTAACGTTTCGGGTCCGGTTCTGAGGAAGGGTCACCGGACCCGAAACATTAACTCTGTTTATTCCTTCGCAGATGCTGCCAGACCTGCTGAGCTTTTCCAGCAACTTCTGTTTTGTTTCCTAGTTTACAGCATCCACAGTTCTTTCGTTTTTTAACAGTATCTACACAAATGTGCTAGATAGAGACAAAATGTATGGTAAGTACAAATTGGGTTGATTATTGTTGTCCCTGTCTTTATAGAAATGTGGCAGAGCAGATCAGATGCTCCTCACAGAAGCCACCTGATTTTTGGGTAGATTAGAATAAGCTTTATTATCACATGTACCTCAAGTATAGGTGTAGAAGAGTACGGTGAAAGGTTTTACAATGTCACCTCTTATTGTGCCATCTTAGGTACAAGTACCTAGGTGCAAACCTTAGGTACAAAAGAGGAATAAAAAGAGAAGTAGTTGCATTACTTTACAGTATAAGTTAGAAATAAGACATAGTTAAAAGGATTGAAATTACAGTCATATATACAAATTATACATAAACAGTACATTGCAGTAGCTCAGCACAGGGGCTTCCACATTTGGTCTGACCACCCATCCCCCGCCAGGCCCCAGTCCAACAACTGACCCCCATCCACTCCAAGCCTCCAGACCGCTCCGCACTGGATCTTAGCACTTCGAAGGTAAGTATTCTCCAGGTCTGCTTCCTCCTCACTGGTTTCCCCGGGACTCGATTCCCATTCGCTGGTCTCAGCTCTGGGACTCCATTCCCATTTGCCGGTCTCCGCTCCGGGACTCCATTCCCATTCGCCGGTCTCAGTTCTGGGACTCCATTCCCATTTGCAGGTCTCCGCTCCGGGACTCAATTCCCATTCGCTGGCCTCCACCCTGGGTTCCTGTTCCCCCACACCGACCCTCACTCAGGGCCCTGTTACCCCACAATGACCCTCGCTCAGGGCCCTGTTACTCCACACCGACCCTCACTCGGGGCCCTGTTACACCACATCGACCCTCGCTCAGGGCCCTATTACCCCACACCGACCCTCGCTCGGGGCCCTGCTACCTCACACTGACCCTCCCTCCGGGCCCTGTTACCCCACACCGACAATCACGCGGGGTTCTGTTACCCCACACCGACCCTCACTCGGGGCCCTGTTACCCCAGACCGACCCTCACTCCGGGCCCTGTTACCCCACACTGACCCTCACTTGGGGTCCTGTAACCCCACACCGACCCTCACTCGGGGCCCTTGTACCCCACAGCGACCTTCATTCGGGGCCCTGTTGCCCCACAGTGACCCTCGCTCGGGGCCCTGTTACCCCACACCAACCTTCATTCGGGGCCCTGTTACCCCACACCGACCCTCGCTCGGGGTCCTGTTACCCCACACTGAGCCTTGCTTGGGGTCCTGTTCACCAACACCGTTCCTTGCTCGGGGCCCTGTTACCCCACACTGTCCCTCGCTCGGGGTCCTGTTCCCCCACACTGACCCTCGCTCGGGGCCTTGTTACCCCACACTGACACTCGCTCAGGGTCCTGTTCGCCCAGACTGACCCTCGCTCAGGGTCCTTGTACCCCACACCGACCCTCACTCAGGGCCCTGCTATCCCACACCGACCCTCGCTCGGAGCCCTGTTACCCCACACTGACCCTCGCTCGGGGTACTGTTACCCCACACCGACCCTCGCTCAGGGGCCTGTTACCCCACACTGACCCTCGCTCGGGGCCCTGTTACTCCACACCAACCTTCGCTCGGGGCCCTGTTACCCCACACCCACCTTCACTCGGGGCCCTGTTACCCCACACCGACCCTCGCTCGTGGCCCTGTTACTGCACACCGACCCTCACTCGGGGCCCTGTTACCCCACACCGACCCTCGCTTGGGGCCGATTTACCGGACACCGACCCTCGCTCGGGGCCCTGTTACCCCACACCGACCCTCGCTCGGGGCCGATTTACCGCACACCGACCCTCGCTCAGGGCCCTGTTACTGCACACCGACCCTCACTCGGGGCCCTGTTACCCCACACCCACCTTCACTCGGGGCCCTGTTGCCCCACACCGACCCTCGCTCGGGGCCCTGTTACCCCACACCGACCCTCGTTCGGGGCCGATTTACCGCACACCGACCCTTGCTCGGGGCCCTGTTACCCCACACCCACCTTCAATCAGGGCCCTGTTGCCCCACACCGACCCTCGCTCAGGACCCTGTTACTCCACACCAACCCTCGCTCGGGGCCCTGTAACCCCACACCCACCTTCGCTCGGGGCCCTGTTACCCCAAACCGACCCTCGCTCGGGGCCCTGTTACTGCACACCGACCCTCACTCGGGGCCATGTTACCCCACACCGACCCTCGCTCGGGGCCCTGTTACGGCCCACCGACCCTTGCTCGGGGCCCTGTTACCCCACACCCACCTTCACTCGGGGATCTGTTACCCCACACCAACCCTCGCTCGGGGCCCTGTTACCCCACACCGACCCTCGCTCGGGGC